GTCTTTTTTATATACTATAGACATGTTTATCCAAGTGCCGTAGGCCAGAGTGCATTGTCAAAAGTAGACCCAGGCAATCAAATTTCACCAGGCATTTTTGGTTTATGAGTCTGTGACGATCCGATTAAAAATTGCCTCAGGCAAAGTAGACCAAAGTGCAATTGACCAAGTGTCGTAGGGTGTCGTAGGGTAATAGGGTTCCCCCAGGCAATCAAATTTCACCAGGCATTTTTGGTTTATGAGTCTGTGACGATCCGATTAAAAATTGCCTCAGGCAAAGTAGACCAAAGTGCAATTGACCAAGTGTCGTAGGGTAATAGGGTTCCCCCAGGCAATAATTATCTACTCAAGTATACTCAAGTAAAAATCATTTACTCAAGTATAAAATCATTTACTCAATTATACTCAAGTAAAAGGTATGTATATAATATAGGGTTCCCCCAGGCAATCATTATCTACTCAATTATACTCAAGTAAAAGGTATGTACATGATAAACTACAATTTATAAAAAACTTAAATAATTTTTTCTATAGACTCAAGTGTGTATTCTTAGACTCAAATTTTTGCCAAAGCATTAAAAAAAGATTACGACACCCCCGATTCCCAGGACGTCTCCGTTCCAAGTACTAAGGAAGCCCAGCGTTGCTTAACTTGCCAGATCGGACGGGATGGCGTGCTTTCAACGCGGTATGGTCGTAATCACTGTGTTTTCAATTTCTCAATATTTAAGAAAAAATTCTCTAAGGCAAAGTGGGCGGGGCTATTTGTTGTTCGCTGTTCGCGGGAATGGTTTAAGGCAAAGAGAAAACGGGCAATTATAAAAATGTGTGGGAGAAAAATTAGGATTAAAAAAATTTTTTTGAAGAATTAAATTTTTCAAAAAAAATAAAGCTTATAATAATAAACTTTAATCTTTTTTTAAATTTAAAGTTTATTATTATAAGCTTTATTTTTTTAAAAAATTTAATGTTATTATTATTTTAAGCTTTATTATCAGATATTTTAAAGCAGCTTTATTCTAAATCTGATAATAATCATAAGCTTTATAATCCTAATTTTTCTCCAGCTGCAATATTTATTTGGCTCCAGACAATTGTCAGGAATTGCCATTGATAACTTTTGTGAAAGTGCCGCTGATAAATTGTAAATAATTTAGATATCTTTTGCAAAGGAAATTAAATATATAATAAGCTGTCATTAATTTTTTAATTTCAGATTATTTTCGAGATTTTATTCTAAAATTATCAATATAATCAATATTAATGACAGCTTAATTACCCGCAGACTGGGTAATTCCAGCTCTGCTAACTACCTAAATAAAAGATATCTGGTTGATCCTGCCTGAACTGATGTGTTCATTTCAAAGATTAAGCCATGCATGTATAAGTTTAATCGTTTTAACGAGAAACCGCGAACGGCTCATTACAATGGCCATGATTTACTTGATCTTGATTATCTAAATGGATAACTGTGGAAAAGCTAGAGCTAATACATGCACCAGAGCTTTGTCCTCTCGGAAAAGCGCATTTATTAGAACAAAACCACGCGGCTTCGGCTGCTTCTTGTTGACTCAGAATAACTAAGCTGACCGCATGGCCTTGTGCCGGCGGCGTGTCTTTCAAGCGTCCACTTTATCAACTTGACGGGAGCATAATCGACTCCCGTGGTGGTGACGGATAACGGAGGATCAGGGTTCGACTCCGGAGAAGGGGCCTGAGAAATGGCCACTACGTCTAAGGATGGCAGCAGGCGCGCAAATTACCCACTCTCGGCTCGAGGAGGTAGTGACGAGAAATAACGAGACTGTTCTCTTTGAGGCCGGTCATCGGAATGGGTACAATTTAAACCCTTTAACGAGTATCAAGCAGAGGGCAAGTCTGGTGCCAGCAGCCGCGGTAATTCCAGCTCTGCTAATACATAGAATTATTGCTGCGGTTAAAAAGCTCGTAGTTGGATTCGTATCGGTACCTTGGAACCCTTCGGGTGTTTCTGGGTGTTATCGATTTATCGTAATGTTCGGTTTTGAGTCCTTAACAGGATTTTTAACAGTCATTGCAAGTTTACTTTGAACAAATCAGAGTGCTTCAAACAGGCGTTTTCGCTTGAATGATTGTGCATGGAATAATAGAAAACGATTTCGGTTCAGTTTTATTGGTTTTACGGACTGAGATAATGGTTAACAGAGACAAACGGGGGCATTTGTATGGCCCCGTGAGAGGTGAAATTCTTGGACCGTGGCCGGACAAACTACAGCGAAAGCATTTGCCAAGAATGTCTTCATTAATCAAGAACGAAAGTCAGAGGTTCGAAGGCGATCAGATACCGCCCTAGTTCTGACCGTAAACGATGCCAACTAGCGATCCGCTGATGGAAATTATATTGCCTTGGTGGGGAGCTTCCCGGAAACGAAAGTCTTCCGGTTCCGGGGGAAGTATGGTTGCAAAGCTGAAACTTAAAGGAATTGACGGAAGGGCACCACCAGGAGTGGAGCCTGCGGCTTAATTTGACTCAACACGGGGAAACTCACCCGGCCCGGACACTGTGAGGATTGACAGATTGATAGCTTTTTCATGATTCAGTGGATGGTGGTGCATGGCCGTTCTTAGTTCGTGGAGTGATTTGTCTGGTTTATTCCGATAACGAGCGAGACTCTAACCTACTAAATAGTTGGTACATACTCTTTGTGTATACAGCTTCTTAGAGGGATTTGCGGCGTTCAGCCGAAAGAAATTGAGCAATAACAGGTCTGTGATGCCCTTAGATGTCCGGGGCTGCACGCGCGCTACACTGGCAAAATCAACGTGCTTGTCCTACCCTGAAAGGGGCGGGTAAACCATTGAAAATTTGCCGTGATTGGGATCGGAAATTGCAATTATTTTCCGTGAACGAGGAATTCCAAGTAAGTGCGAGTCATCAGCTCGCGTTGATTACGTCCCTGCCCTTTGTACACACCGCCCGTCGCTGCCCGGGACTGAGCCATTTCGAGAAATTTGGGGACCGTTGATTTAATTTATCTAAATTATTTTGATGGAAACCAATTTAATCGCAGTGGCTTGAACCGGGCAAAAGTCGTAACAAGGTAGCTGTAGGTGAACCTGCTGCTGGATCATTACTTTATGTGATGTTCAATTTTGAATCGCAATGAAATAATTGTTGTGTAACGGCTGTCGCTGGTGTCTAGGTGTTGCTGATACAGTTGTGAACGTCCGTGGCTGTATATGTGGTGACATGTTAGGACTATAATGAGTTTAAGACTTAATGAGCCTCTTAAGTGAGGACGCCAGCACTCTTTTTTTATATTTAAAAAAAAACAAAATTCCTAGCCTTTCCGGTGGATCACTAGGCTCGTGGATCGATGAAGAACGCAGCAAACTGCGATAAGTTTTGCGAACTGCAGCAGCCTTGAGCATAAAAGTTTTGAACGCATATTGCCGCATAGGGGTCAAACCCTTTGCTATGTCTGGTTCAGGGTCATTATCTTTCAAAGCGAAAGCTTTATTGTATAATTGCTTTTGTGGCTTCTTTATGTTTTAAATTGATTGTTAGATATGTTTAATTGTTCGCATGTATCATCAACAATATTGATTTTTTGACCTGAACTCAGTCGAGAGCACCCGCTGAACTTAAGCATATCAGTAAGCGGAGGAAAAGAAACTAAACAGGATTCCCCTAGTAACGGCGAGTGAATAGGGAAATGTCCATCGCTAAATCATTTTGCCTAAGGCATTATGAGGTGTAGCGTATAAGCCGTAATTTTTAATCTTTTGTCTCAAATAATTCCCCTTGACAGGGGTTCCACAGAAGGTGCAAGTCCTGTACATTGAGATAATTGATCGATATTTACGTGCTTTAGAGTCGGGTTGTTTGGGATCGCAGCCCAAAGTCGGTGGTAAACTTCATCTAAGACTCAATATTGCCACGAGACCGATAGCAAACAAGTACTGTGAAGGAAAGTTGCAAAGCACTTTGAAGAGAGAGTTAAAGAGGACGTGAAACCGGAGAGGTGGAAACGGATAGAGTCGGCGTATCTTTCAAGTATTCATTTACATTATTTTTATGTTGTGATCTCTGAGCTCCAGATTGGGACAGAAAGAAGCATCATAATTTTCTGTGATGCATTTGCTTGTTTGGTGCTTGGGGATGTTTGAGGCAGATTTGTAACCGCCGTTTTGAGGCCAGCTTGCTGGTACCCAAACAGCGTTAGCATCTTTTGTCTTGGACATTTGAGTATGGTTTACGGGCATTTATTGGTTCGATCTGATTGTAAGTTACGGTCGCATGCGACACGTGCTTTTCATTTAGATCGGTCCAGTTAATGCTCTCGTACTCGCTCCCCATGTAAAAGCCGGTCATCTATCCGACCCGTCTTGAAACACGGACCAAGGAGTTTATCGTGTGCGCAAGTTTTTGGGTGTTAAAAACCTAAAAGCGAAATGAAAGTAAATGGCTCTTTAGAGTCTGACGTGCGATCTTGTAAAAAAGGGCAGCATGGCCCCATTCTAACTGTTTACAGTAGGGTGGAGGAAGAGCGTACGCGGTGAGACCCGAAAGATGGTGAACTATTCCTGAGCAGGACGAAGCCAGAGGAAACTCTGGTGGAAGTCCGAAGCGGTTCTGACGTGCAAATCGATCGTCTGACTTGGGTATAGGGGCGAAAGACTAATCGAACCATCTAGTAGCTGGTTCCCTCTGAAGTTTCCCCCAGGATAGCTGGAGCTCATTAGTAGTTATACTCGGTAAAGCGAATGATTAGAGGACTTGGGAACGAAATGTTCTTAACCTATTCTCAAACTCTAAATGGGTATGATGTCAAAGTTGCTTGATTTTGAACTTTGGCGTTGAATACGAGTTCCAAGTGGGCCATTTTTGGTAAGCAGAACTGGCGATGTGGGATGAACCAAACGCGGAGTTGAGGTGCCAAAGTGCCCGCTCATTAGACACCATAAAAGGTGTTGGTTGATACAGACAGCAGGACGGTGGCCATGGAAGTCGGAATCCG